GAGATGTGCGTGAGCTTTGTGTGAGCTTTGGGGCTTTGCTTGAGTTTTGTTGGAGCTCCGTGTGAGCTTTGTGTCAGCACTGCTGGAGCGTAAGTTGAGCAGTTATGTGGCTGTGGTTGAGATGTGCTGGAGCTTTGATGGAGCTTGTGTTGAGCCTTGTTGGGGTATTGCTTGAGCTCTGATTCAGATTTGATTGTGCTTCGGTTGAGGTTGACTGAGCTTAGTTCCAGCTTTGTTGGGGTCCTGTGTGAACTTTGTTTCAGCGCTGCTGGAGCTTTGGTTGAGAATTTAACTTTAGCTGTGTTAGAGCTGTGTTGGGGTTTTGCTTGACTATCGTTGAAGCTGTGTTTGAGCCTTGTTGGGGCTTTGTTTGAGCTTTGAGTGGGCTTTGTTTGGGCTTCGGTTGAGCTTTGCTTGAGCTTAGTTTGAACTTTGTTGGAATGTTGGTTGAGCGTTGCTTGAGATTTGTTGGAGCGGTGCTGGAGCTTTGTTTGAGCCTTTTTGGGGCGTTGCCTGAGATATGGTCGAGACATGTTGCAGTTTCGGTGGAGCATCGTCTGAGCTTACATTGAACTTTGTTGGATTGTTTTTTGTTCTTTGCTTGAGCTCTATTTGAGCGTTGTTGTAGTTTTGCGTGAGCTTTGTTGGAGCTTTGGTTGAGTTGTGGTTGAGCTTTGTTGGAGCTTTGTTTGAGGCTTTGCATGAACTTTGCTTGAATGTTTTTGTACCTTTGGTTCAGCTCTGCCGGGGCAATGTTGAAGCTTTGTGGGAGCTTTGTATGGGCTTTAGTTGAGCATTGTCGGAGCCTTGTTGGAGCTGTGGTTGAGCTTTGGTTGAGCTTTGCTTGGGTGTTGTTTGAGCTTTGGTTGACCTGTAGTTCAGCTTCGGTGGAGAATGATTGGAGCGTTGTGTGAGTTCTGCGTGGGCTTTGCTGGAGCTTTGCTTGAGCATTGTTTGCGCTGTGGTTGAGCTTTGTATGAGTTCTGTGTGAGCTGTATTTGAGCTATGTTGAAGCTTTGTGTGATCTTTGATTCAGCATTACTGGAGCTCCATTCGAGCTCCGTCGAAGCTTCGTTGGAGCTTTGTTGGAGCTATATTGGAGCTTTGCGTAAGCTTTGATTGAGCTTTGTTGGAGCTTTGTGTGAGCTTTGATTGAGCTTTGGGTGAGCTTTGTGTGAGCCTTGTGTGAGCTGTGTTGAAGATTTGTCTGAACCTGGTTGGGACTTTGTTCCCTACCTAGGCTCTGCCTAGAAAGGTTCTCACTCTCTGTGCTTAAAGGGCCGGGCAGTGCAAATCGCCCCGGGCGGTTCCCCCAGGATCCGCCCCGCGGTTCCCCCAGTTATGTCCCCTTAGCTTAGCGTTGCTTATCTCATCTTAGCTTAGCTTATTCCATCTTAGCTTAGCTTAGCTTCATCTTAGCTCAGGTTGGTCTTAGCTTAGCGTACCTTCATCTTAGCTCCGCTGAACTTTAGCATAGCAAAGCACAGCATAGCATAGCATAGCGTCGCATAGCATAGCGCAGCACAGCATATCATAGCATAGCCCAGCATAGCATAGCGTAGCGCAGCATAGCATAGCATAGCGCAGCATAGCATAGCATAGCGCAGCACAGCACAGCACAGCATAGCATAGCATAGCACAGCGCAGCATGACATATAATATCATAGCATAGCTTAGCATAGCATCGCATAGCATAGCATAGCGCAGCATAGCATAGCATAGCATAGCGCAGCATAGTATGGCATGGCATGGCATAGCATTGCATAGCAACTCATGCTGTTTTCCTAGGGGCTCCAACTTCTAGATAGGGTCGCACTGGGGTAATTTGAGCCTTGCTTGGGATTTGTGTGAGCATGTCGTCACCGAAACGGGCGAGGCGGCCTGGCACGGACAATTAGCCCGTCCGCCCTCTTTCCAGCTTCGAACTCCAGCAGCGGAGAGAGCGGTCCCCCATCCCCGCCCCAGTTCGGAGTGAGAGGCTGTTTTGCACGCCACCCCCACTGGTTCGAACAAAGGGGGGGGGCTGCCAGCCAGCCAATCTCGGAAGAAAGCGCTCTTTCCGATGTACCGATCGGTCTATCTTATCGATGAATCCGTCTCGTTCACCGACGGGGCAGCCGCAAGACGACAACGGACACCCACAGACGCTCACGTGGGCAGCCACAAGACGCTCACGTGGGCAGCCACGAGACAACCACGGGACAACCATGGGACAACGACGGGGCAACCACGGACAACCACACGATGTCCACGAGACAACCATCACGGGACAACCACGGGACAACCACTGGGCAACCACAGGACAACCACGGGAAAACCAAGGAACTACCAAAGGACAACTATCGGAGAAACGTAGGACTCGGGTACTGGGGACTCGGGTTGGCCTGACGGGTCATCCAAAAAATGACGAGACCCAGTCTGAATTTTGACGCGAGCTCCCGCTGCAAACATCCCACGGACATCGGACCGTTAAAATCGAGGACGCGCTCGTCCAAAAACGTCGGCAAACCCGAGCTCCGGCTTACTCGAATCTTACGTTTCCCCCGAAACTACAAACAAACCGCGGGACAACCGTAGGACAACCGCAAGACAACCCGGGGCACGCACAGGACAACCACGGGACAACGACGGGACAACCGCGGGACAACTCTGGGCACGCCCCGAATGCCGATCTGTGACTCATTCTGGCGTGACCTAGGCCTAGCTATCGGAGGAACTTGCGCTGCTTTGCTTTGCCCGCACGCGCGGCACAGACCGACACCGAAACGAGTTGCATTGCCCTTTTTGGACGGCTCCGTTTCACTTTGGCCTCACCCGCACCTACCTCTGATCACTGATCCGTTCGTGCCAACGGCGGGCCGACAGCGAAACAATAATCGAATCGTCGATCAGCCGCACGGTATGCCTGAGTCTAATCGGCGATGGGATGGAGGCGAATAGAGCGTAGGAAGGGGTGCAAAACACACATACACACACGCACACACACATACACACACGCACACACACACACACACACACACGCGCACACACACACACGCACACACACACACACACACGCACACACGCACACACAAACACGCACGCACGCACGCACGCACCCCCCCCCACACACACACACACACACACACACACACACACACACACACACACACACGCACACACACACACACACGCACACACACGCGCACTTGTTTGGCGTCGCGGCCACGCGGGCGTGGCGGCGCAGCAGAGTCAGAGTCCAGCGGATAGCGGATGTAGCCACACACACACACACTCACACACGCTTGACGCCGACGAGCCGGTGACTCCGCTCGACGGGCGCACTGCAAAGGGACGCCTTGTCCACAAATTGCCAAATTTTGACGGACGCAACACGCGCACACGTGTTTGACCTCCGACGAGCTGGTGACTCCACTCGACGGGCGCACTGCAAAGGGACGCAATTAATACGAATTGACAACCCTTGGTGGAAGCAACACGCGCAAACGTGTTCTTCCTCCGACCCACCGATGGCTTCACTCGACGGGAGCATTGCAACGGGACAGACACGCGAACATGCACACACACACACACACACGCACAGACACACACACACACACACACACGCGATACGGTCTTTGAGTTCTTCGGCGCGTCTTCACCTATTAATCCCACCAGCCCTTTGGGCGACAGGTGGTCTAAGGGTGATCCCTTTGTTCTTCCACAACCCCTCTTCCCTTCGGGGAGGGGAACCCTCCCCCTCCCCTCCCTGTTTTTTTGAGGGGAACCGAAGTGTCAGAGGGTCCTTTTTCGGCCAGTTGGAGGGCCAATGTTTGACACCACTCACGAGGATCGAAGCCCCCGAGGGGGGGGGGGGGGGGGCAGACATCGAGGACCCCCCCTCTTTTGACCGACCGCCTTCAAGACGGCACCAAGAGGCCCTCGAGGGCTCCCAAGAGGCCCCCAAGAGAGCTCCAAGAGCGCCCCAAGAAGACCGAAGAGGCATCCAAGAGGCACCCGAAAGGCACCCAAGAGGCCCCCGAGCGGCCTCATAGAACCCAAGATGACCTCCAAGATGGCTCAATATAGCCCAAGCTGGCTTAAGATGGCTCCCAAGATGCTCCAAGAGGCCCCAAGACCGCTCCAAGACGGCTCGAGATGGCCACGGAGCCCCCCCAGGAGGCCGCCAAGAAGCCAGAAAGCTTCAAACGCCGAAAGAAAATTAATGAAAATGGCCTCCTCGCCTTTTGTTTTCGATGGCTGTCCGAGGCTTCCAGGATGGCCCCGGAGGGCCCCAAGAGAGGCCCAACAGAGCCCCAGGACGGCTCCAAGAGCGCTCCACGATCGCTCCAGGAGGGGAGGGGGAGGTAATTGAAGTTCCCCCCGTCTTTGATCGATCTCCTCCAAGATAGCCCCAAGAGAGACCCCACGGCTCCCAAAAGCGCCTCAAGAGTGCCCCAAGACCGCCTCGAGACGGCTCCAAGTGGCCACGAAGGCTCCCCAGGAGGCCACCAAGAAGCCCAAATCCACCAAAACCCAAAGGAATGTGAGGAACCCCTTTTTTGTTAATCGATGCCCTCCAAGATGGCCCGAAGAGCGCTCCCAAGGCAACCAAGAGCGCCTTAAGAGGGCCCCGAGAGGCGCCCACCCAGACGGCCCGAAGAGGCGCCCACGATGCCCCCACGAGGCTCCCACGAGGCCCCCAGGAGGCTTCAAGAGGATCCCCGAGGCACCCAAGATGCCCCCCAGACGTTCCAAGAGGCCTCCAAAAAACTTCCAAGAGACATCCGAGGAGGCTCTTATGTTCGTCCCTTGTTCTGTCTCCTCCTCCTTTTCCTCCTCCTTTCCTACTCCTACTCCTTCTCCTTCTCCTCCTCCCTCCTCCCTCCTCCCTCCTCTCAATCCCCCACCTCGGACGGCTTCCCCCGCCTGTTGTTTTTCTGCACGCTCCCCCACTTCCCTGATCACCTCAACTCCCCTGGGCATCGCTTCCGGATAGGCTGGTGGGGATACCCGAAGCGTCAACGATAACTAGGAAAGGCGGGCGGTGGACGCGAAACGACATGAATAATCCAAGGTTTTGCAAGCGTCGCTGGCTCATGGCACTGCTGCCACTCCGCGTAGCTGATCGGCGAGCCTGTATCGCCTACGACCGACACTGTGTTGTCCGCCGACACCGCAAGATTGCGATCTCCGCTGTTCTCCATGTTCTCCATGAAAGACTTGTCCTTGCTAAAAATAACCGGCCTCTCAACCGTCGGCAGAGCGGTGCGAATGACAACCCACGCTTCTGTCTCGTCGAGCTCCTCCTGAAGCATATCTGGTGTGAACACTGGCTTCGCAACCACGGGGAAGTATTTGGGCCCGCCACTCCGAAACTTGTACACAAAGCAGCCGTCCGCTGACGCAACCTCGTCTGCAAACTCCTCCGGGCGCATCCAGGCGAAGTGTGTCGCACCCTTGTCCGACAGCGCTTTTAGCGTGATCTCCTGGAATCCGCCGAACTCTTGGGCACCGGCGTGACAGACACGTACTCCCCTAAGCCCGTCACCTAGGAGGTCGAACTTCAAGCGACGCGAGCTTCTACTGGCGCCCTCGCGAGGCCACCTCGGAGAACTTTTTCCCCCCACAAAAAACACTAAAAAACACTGGACGATCGGCACCGAGACGCGAGACGCAACACAGCTGCACGAGCCAAAAACGTCACAGGAGGTGTCATGCACAGCGAAGCGCCAGATGAGGGGAAGGGGTGAGGAAAGAAGGAGGAAAACGAACCGTACCCTCGCCATCCGCTCGACGGAAACTTTTAAAGTCAGCGGGCGCAGAGGTGCGGAACCAGTCAGGCGGCAGTTGGGCTAAAGGCGAACGCGCCGAAGTAGACCGGGGCACGAAGGAAAAGAAAGAGCAGAGAAGGGGCAGAGACAGAGCAGCTCAGACAATGCAAACCCTCACGGGTTGCCGCAGGAGGTGCAAGGATCCTGTTGCCCCGTGAAGACGACACGGCCATATGTACTGCGCACGAGGGCGGGCCAGCTAGCAGGTGAAGGGGGGAAGAGGGGCGGAGGGGCCGAACACAATAATGGCACAAGCAGCTCGTGTCTACAAATGCCCCCCAGACTTCACTCGAGTCAACCGCATTTGTTTGGTACAAGCGCGACGAGAAGAGGGCGAGAACGGACAGAGAGAGAGAGCCAGAGATGGAAAGAGGGGGGGAAAGAGCGAGAAACAAACAAAAGCAGTGCAGAATACATCCGCCGACCCCCGCTTGCCAGGGTTGGGAAGGCGTGTGTGATGATTGGCTGTTACCCCCATCCCCCATTGCCCCTCCTCTGGAGTTCCAAATCGTGTGAGAGGGGAGGAGGGGGTACGGGCTACCCGGCGCACCCCCAAGGTCCCCAGAGCCTCCAAAGCTACACTCCGTGGCCTCCAACACTCACAAGATGCCATTGGAGCTGGCTCAATAAGCGTCGAGACAGTCCAAGAGAGCGTCGAGACGGCCCAGGGTAACTTCAAGTTGGCTTCAGGACAGCGACGGTCCAGGATGGCTTCCAAACGGCCTACGAGGCCCCCAAGACGGCCAAAGCCGCCGAGAAGGCCGCAAGACGCAAAACCCTTTTTCCGCTTCCGTCGGGGAACTGACGTCTTCGACCACACGGAGCCCCCAAAATCGTCCCAAGACGGCCCATGAGGCCCTCAAGAGGGCCCCAAGATGGCCCCAGCGGCCCCTGAGACGGCCCATGTGGACCCCAAAAGGGGCCCTAAAGGGGCAATACGAAATAAGACTCCCGCCGCGATGGCCCCAAGAGCTACCCCCAAGGAGCCCCGAGGAGCCCCCAAGAGGCCCCAACAGGCTTCTAAGCGGCACCCAAGAGGCACCCAACAGGCCCCCGAGAGGCCACCACAAGCCAAACAGACGCCCCCAAGAACCCTCCAAGAGGCCCCAAAGAGGCAATCATATGCATCCCCAAGGCTCCTGACCAGAGGCCAGGCACGTTGACGAATCCCACTAGCCTTTTTAGGGCGTAAGGTGATCTAGAGCGCTTCCTCTTCCAACCCCCTTCTCTTCCCCTTCGGGGAAGGGTTCACCCCTCCCCCTGTACCCCTCCCCTGGACGTGGACGGGACCGCTCGCGAGCGGTCAGGGCGTCCCAAACGGCCTCGGCGGGGAGGCCAGAACCACTGGTTTTACTAAGGTGTTGGCCCCACGTTGGCTTCTTGGGGCGGCTACCGTAATTGAGGACCCCCCCTTTTTTGATCGATGTCCTCCAAGATGGCCTCAAAAAGCGCCCAGGAGGCCCCAGGAGGGCCCAAGATGGCCCCAAGAAACTCCAACAGACACCCGGGAGGCCCCCAAGAGGACCCCAAGCAGCCCAAAGAGCCCCCCCCAGGCACCCAAGCCGCCCAAGAGCCCCCCAGGACCTCCAAGAGGCCCCCAAGACGTCCCAAGAGGCCACCAAGAAGCGCCCAAAAGATAACCCCAGAGGCCCCGAGAGGTATCCAAGATACCTCTGGCCCTTCTGTTTGCCCTCCTCCTCCTCCTCCTCCTCCTCCTCCTCCTCCTCCTCCTCCTCCTCCTCCTCCTCCTCCTCCTCCTCCTCCTCCTCCTCCTCCTCCTCCTCCTCCTCCTTTTCATCCTCATCACCATCATCATCAGCAGCAGCATCATCCGATTCACCCTCCTTCTCCCCGCTCCCTCATCCATCCATCCAGCCCCCTCCTTCTCCTCCTCCCTCCTTCGCACGGATCGGCCGTCCCCTCCTTGCTCACGCCCTTCCCTGACCACCTCAAGCCGCCTGGACACCGTTGCCGGATGGACTGGTGGGGATGCTTTTCTGTTCGCAGCCGCAAGCGGACAGCCGCGCGGCGTCGTAGAACCTCACGAAGGCCAGGCCTACAATACGGCCAGGACCGAAGCCGGGCACGACAGCGGACGAACGCCGAAAAATGCAAGCGAGGCGGCGGGCAGCTCGCCGCAAGTGGCGACCCCAATTCTGAACCGAGGCCGAGCGCGGGCGGCGAACGAACAGCGAACATGGCAGCTACGCAAATTGCCTCAAACGCAGCTCAGAAGCCGAAGACACCCGAGTCCAGGCCCAACTGTGACGTCGACCTCCGCGACGGACCCCACCACGTCCCCGACAAAGCGTATGCCAATGTGGGAGAACAGCGCCGCCGTCGTCAAACACTAAACTGCGAACCGCACCGCGTAAGCGGGAGACCTCGAAGCGCCACCAGGCCTTTGCATCCAAGGTACCCCAATCGGCGGGGCGAGTCGTCAAAAGAGCAGTTACTGCTGGTGGGGACACGCGAAGCGTCTAGAATTCACTGCTATGGGGGTCGGCGGGGTGGCGTGAACACCTCGAGCATCCAGTCGAACGGCTGGCGGGACAATGAGAAAGAACAATCGGAACGCCCAGCGCTCGGCCACGCAACCGAGGTGCAGCGCTCCCTCCGCCCAGGAGACCCACAAAGCGCCTCCACGACCCCCGAAGGCGGCCCCGAGAGGGTCAAGAAGTGCCAAGGCCGAGCAGCAGACACTGAGCGGCGCCAACAGCGGAACAAACGGAGGTGGGAATCAACATTCCGCAGCAAACCACCAATGGCAGCGCGCAGACGCAGCAACAGTCAACAGCAACTTGTGGTACCAGCATGACGCAGCAACGAGCAGCATCAAATAGCAGCGGACAAACGCCAGCAGCAATAAAGCAGCAGTGACAACACGCAAGGAACAGCACGGGGGGAAAGAGGGAAAGAGGTCAGGATCGGGGGAGTGAAGGGACGAAGGCAGGAAGGTACATGAACGGGAGGGAGGAAGAAACTCGAAGAGTCTCGAAGTGCACCGGCCACAAAGGCTCGGAACGCAGGGGATCGGCGGATGTGGAGCCAGACTCTTGCATCTGCCTTGGCGCGTCAGTTTGTCGGCGACGCCTTGGGAGAGGGGCTGATAGAAGAAAACCAAACTGCATAACCATAGACTTTCGGATGTCAGCGCGGATCTATTGGATCTTCAGTGGCCCCCCTCCCTGGCACGCGGAGCGCGCCAGAGGCGGCGCCGGAGGCGCCGCCAGGGGGGCTTAGCGCCAATCCAAGAAATCCGCGCGCTACTACGAAAGTGTATGTTTACGGCGTGTGTTCTTCTTCGGGCTGAGGGCGGCCAAACATGAGGCCCAGCGTTCCCAGAGCCGCGGGCGCCACACCGTTGGTGGCTATGGCCTCGCGGCTGTCGTCGAAGTAGAGGTAGCCGCCGTACTGCAGAAAGGTGCCCTCCCCCGTCGACGGCAGCCGCGTGCCGACGTCCACCACGGGATAGCACCACGCGAAGAACCGGGCGTCCTGGGGGATGTTCGCGGCGGCCTTCGTCTCGGAGTCCAGGGTGACCGCAAAGGAAGAAAAAATGCACAAACATAACATGCGAAAGTCCACGCGGACTTCTCTGATCGGCGCTGGAACCCCCTCCCCGGCGCGCGGAGCTCGCCAGGAGCGGCGCCAGAAATGCCGCCCAGGGGGGCCAGCGCAGATCCAAGAAATCCGCGCGGACCTCCGAAAACCAATGTCTATACCATTTTCTCTTCATTTAGATTGGGTGTAACGGCGACAGCTGGCAGAACATGATCTCCCCTGCTCCCAGGCCGATTGCGGCCGGGTCTAGCCCCGCCATCGAATTCTCGTCGCTGGCTGGGTCAGGCCTCGGGAACTCGTGCTGCCTGTAGAACGCGTTGATTGCGCTGAAGACCCGGCACGACTGCATCGTGAAAGGACCTACCGTATCCGGAAACTCCAATAGCCCTGCCATCCCCTGGCATGTCAGTCGGGCAGTCGCGGGGTCTCAATCCTCGAGTCCGCATAGCTATGAAGAAGGCAGTTCAGGAGCAGAAGCATCGAGCAGAGTAGCCAGCCGATGACGACGATGCCTTCGATTGTGTTCAAGAGAAAGAATGTCAACGCGATCGCAGAGCATCACATCGAGACTCAGTTGGTCCGACATCCGTTCACAACTGATTGCGGTGATGAACAATTGTTTAGCGTGTCACGGCGGCGGCCCTGGCGACCCTTTGTGCCCTGCGAGCGGATAGCGCGTCGCTCCGCTCCGCGGGGCGAAAGGCTGGAACAAGCTCGGGCCGTTGACGCTTGGGGGCTCGGAAGTGGTGAGCGTGTCGCGCCGAAACATGATGGACCAAAGTCGGCGGCGCGACACGCTACGCAAACGTTCCGCACAAGAGCACTGCAGCACCGCGACGCCGCCGTGGGACGGCACCGCGAGACCGCAGCATACCACGACGCCGCAGCACAGGCCGCGCCGCTACCCCGCGGCCCCACAACCCTGCGAAGTCGAGACGGCGCGCGACCCAAGGAAGCGCTCGGGAGGTAGCCTCGGGCGCCACAGAGAAGCGCTCGGAAGGTAGATAGGGGGGCGCCCCGGGGAGGCGCTCGCGCGGCGAGAGGAGGCGGGCCCTCTCGGAAGGCGGCGGGGCTTCTTCAGAAGACCTCAGGCCTTCTGAGCAGCCGTCCGAGGCCCTCGGAAGCGGGCCGGAATCTTCAGAGAGGGTCGGAGGCCTTGGGGGGCTTCTGAGAAGGTCATCCCTCTTTGCCTTTTCCCCGTCGGCGCGACGCCGAAGGGCGTAGCAAGCTGGACTCTCGACGGTGCCAATTCTGGCATCACGCGCGGAGCTTCGCAACGCACGGCAGGCCACGCGCATGACGGGCACAAGCACGGTGCTGGCCGAGGAGGCGTCGCTGTCACGGAGGCTTCCAGCCACCTCTGAATCCCCTCCGACACAGCAGGAGCAAGCATGCACGATCAGACATCTTGCCGTCAGAGACCTGGAAGGGCACCTCCTTCGTCGACCCTGAGCTCCGTGATTGAGGTGCGCCATGGCTCTGCGGGCCCACTCGGAGATAAGAAGCTGTCGCGGGGTACAGTCAACCCGTATAGTAAGGATGCGCGATAAGGATGCAAGGGCCTTGGAGGGCCATTTCGACGCTTTTCGAGCGGGGCACGGCCAGAGGGTGTGGCCAATGATGGGCCGAAGGGACAAGGATGCAAGGGTATCCTTGGGAAGGTTGCCCATCCTTCTTATGCGGGTTGACTGTACTGAACTCCTCGGCAGGCCAGCTCCTCACCTGGTGTGCCCACTCCACCGCCGACGCGTGCGCGCGGGGGGGGGGGGACGCCTCGGCGTCAGCGGCGGCCGCGGGAACGCCAGGGTTCTGGGCCCCTCCGCGGCCCCGGCCCTGCCCCGAAACGCCGACCGCAGCACCTCGACCTGGCTCACGCAGCTCCACCAGGCACTCGGCCGGCGCACGTGCGCAGATCCGGTGCTGGTGCGCCCCGTGCACTGCGGAGCCTGCACCGGCTCTCGCTGCGTGTGCTCTGCCTGCTCGGTGTTCCGCTTGACGCTTCACTGCGCAAGCTCCCCACTGAGGCAAAACCAGTGACAGCCTCTTGGCCTCGATGGCAAAACATGGTTGCAATCTGTGGGCTCATTGCCGGCATCCCGTTTGCTCTCCAAGCGTCACGTCGTGTCCAAGGCACGTTCTCCAAGCGTCGCGCCCCCCTCCCTCCCTCACATTCTACCCCCAGGCAACCCTTCATCTCGACTTCTCTCCCCTGCCCTTCCATCCTCTACTCCGAAAACTCCCAGAGGCCTCCAAAAACCACCAGATGTCACGGGAAACCGATCAGGGAAAACGCGGGAAACGTACGAGAGAAGTCCAGACACTCAGACCCCCTATCCTCCCCTCCATGCCTTCTTCCTTCTTTCATTCACCCCTCCCTCCCCACCGAGTCGATCTGGGCTTGGTTAGGGATGGGGAAATGCAGAGCCAGACTGGCGCAGGCGGGAAACCTCCTTCCTTTTGGTGATGGTTGGGGCTTTCTGTCCCCTAAACCTCCCGGCTAACCCTTCCAAACGCGATTCCCGATGCAGCAGGACAGCCTAACCACGTCGCCGTCAGAGTTCTCGTACTCCACGGGGGCCCCGTGCTGGAAGAGCTCGTCCTGGCACACCGCCGCCTCATATTGCTCCTCCGCCTCCTCCTCCTCCTTCTCCTTCTCCCCAGCCTCATCCTTTTCCCCGGTTTCATCCTTCTCTCCTGCCACCTCGCCCTGTATCGTTCCTCCTCGTCATCGTCCTCCTCTTCGTCGGTGCCGTCCTTGCCGTAATCGACGTCGTCGTCCTCCTCCTCCTCCTCGTCCTCCTCCGCCTTCTCCTCTCCTTAATGGCCCTCTTGCGTCTCCTGTTCATCATGATCCACTTCGCCATTGCCCTGACCTTCCTCTTCTTTCTCGTCATACCCCACCGTATCCTGTCCCGCCTTCCTCTTAGGTCCACAAATTGTCATCCTCGTCCGCCTCCTCCTCCTCGAAGCCTCGAAGCTGCGGACAGTTCTGGGTCAAGCGCCCCTCCTCCTCCTCCTACTCCTACTCCTATTCCTCCTCCTCCTCCTCCTCCTCCTCCTCCTCCTCAACATTATCATCATCGTGCTCCCTTCTCAACAGTTCCGTCCTCATCATCCCTCGTCCCTCCTTTTCGTCTTCCTTCCTCCTGCCCCATGCCCACCCATGCTTGTCCAGGTGAAGGTAACTGGCATCGAAGTCGAACGTGGTCGGCCAGTTCTTCTGCCTCCGCTGCCCGCAAGAGAACCGCTCACGCCGCCCCATGCCCACCACCCCTCCGGGTGCGCCTGGGGCGCGCGGCGCGAAAGAGCGGAGGACCTCCCTTCTCCCAAATTGGCGAAAAATCGAACGATGACCACAATCAAGACTGCACGCGAAAAACGTCGGTGTCGATCTCGATGTTCGTACATCTTGGCCCTTGTCAATGCGTGAATCATGCTCGCAAGCCGGCGACGGCCGGCATGGATCATGATCAAGATCGCCGTGGATAATAGCCTGCCACGTCTTGGTCATGGCCACTACCCAGACATCCAGCTGCTCCAATTTTTGGGGGGCGTGGACCCAGGAGGTCCGGACCACTTCCCACAGACCGGTTTTTCGTCCTGAATCGTTTTTTGACGCTCCCGAGGCCTGGCGAGGGCCCCCGGAGGCCGCAAACTACCAAAAACCGCATTCTCCAATTCTTTTGGAGCGTCGGATCTCAGGGACCATGCTTCATCCCTCTCCCCGAAAAACCCGGCGACTCGACACATCGCGGTGGCCAACTCGTCGTCGCTGCTGGCCTCTGCACGGAGAGGCTGGTTCCTGGCCCCGGGGTTGTCAACATTGAAGGGGCCAGGGGACACACAGATAAACAGACACAAAGAACAGGATTCCCCATATTTTCCCATCTTTCCTGGGTTTTTGTCTTCCCCCACACTTCCCATATTTCCCATATCTTGTGGAAATCGACGATTATTTGTGTCTGTGTGCTTTTTTCCCCTCCTGAAACATACGGCTCTGAACGCGAAGCCTGCCCTTGGGCAAGGGGTCGAACGGTCCAGAGGGCCGAGCATCGAGCCCGAGCGTATGAGGTCTGGGCTTCTCCTGCTCCTCCCGTCCCTCCCCTCTCGGGGCCGACGCAAGGGCGGGGACAGCAACGGGGGGGATTGGAATTCAGCTGCATGCAGCTGGGCGCCTCCCGGTGCCAGATGCGGCCGAGTGTCGAGGAATCTGCCCCCGGCTGCGGGCCCGAGGCCAACTGCATGCAGCAGAGTTCGTACCATCCCTTCTCCCAAAGACAGCACACGCCTCAACAAACATGCAGGCGGCCTGTTTGTCGTCATGTTGATCATCTGGAGGCTCCCCAAACGACTCTGGATGCCAAGAACAAGCCCTGGGGAAGGGCTCGAGAGGTCCAGGGGGTCGCGCATCGAAAATTATCCAGCGAAGGACCCAACCATAAGCAGTTGCGAGTGTCGCATTGTAGGTACCGCTTTCAGTGGAGCTCCCTATGGGGCCAAGAAACGCTTGAGGAGTGTGCCGACATGGGGCGGGGACCGCATGCGAACCCTGCCGCTGCGGCCTTCGGTGGAGCTCCCTATGGGGCCACGAAATGTTCGAGGCGTGTGCCGGCATGAGCGCGGTGGTGGCATGCGGACCCTGCCACAGGGGTCTTCGGTGGAGCCTCCCATGGGCCACGGAAACTGCATGGGTTGTGCCGACATGGCTGCGTTGGTGGCATGCGGTCCCTGCCACTGGGGCCTTCGGTGGAGCTCCCTATGGGGCCACGAAGCCAGTGAGGGGTCTGCCGAAACCGCTGCGGTGGTGGCATGCGGACCCTGCCACCGGGGCCTTCGGTGGAGCTCCCTATGGTGCCACGAAACACGTGAGGCGTGTCGAAATGGCTGCGGCGGTGGCATGCGGACCCTGCCACTGGGGCGTTCGGCGGGGCCACGAAACGTTTGAGGGGTCTGCCGAGCGGTAGTGGCATACGGACTGGAGCCTTCAGTGGAGCTCCCCATGGTGCCACGAA